CAGGCTAGGCGTTCTTGTCCCCTGGCCTCTGCGGGCATCTTGCGCGGCCCTCATCTCTCTTGCCGGCGCACTGAGGGTTGGGGTGCTTTTTAACAGAGGGTTTCTGAGAGAGCCGAAAGCCAGGCCAGCCGCCAAGCCCTGCCCTGCCCTTGGCCAGCATGGTTCTCGTGCCTGCGATGAAGGCGGGGGATTTGGGCACCCGATCCGATCCATTATTTCACTGTCCCTTCGGCCGCCTCCCGTTGACGTACTTAAAGTTTTCTCCTTCTTCCCTTTTTACCTGTGGAGCATCTTCAAGGGCAGTTCGTTGCTCGTGTCAAGCAAACAATTAAAAGGTGCTACATGCCCCCCCCATGAACTAAACAAGGAGCCGACAATAAAGCAAATTGCAAAACATGAGAAGTGGCCACAGAAAAGGCAGCAGCCCCAAAAGCTCCCTTTTTGGGGTGGCAGCTCCCCACACCCGCTGGTGCTCACTGGAGGATTATGTGGGCCTTTTGTCTCTCCCGGAATGAAATCTCAGGGTGGCTCTTTCTGGTGGAGGGTGGGGGGCTTAGGCCCTTCCCTCCTGGGTGCCAGGCTGGCGCTCTGCCCGTCGCCGATCCCTCCTTCTCCTGCTGGCCCTCTCCAGCCCTGGGATCGGGACCTCCGGCTGGCCCTGCGCCGTCCCTTTCTCCCAGGGAAGGAGAGGAGGTTCTCTGGAACTCCGGGCGGGCGGCTGCGGTCAGTTGCAGGCAGAGCGGAGAGTGACCATGTTTTGTGGGGGGTCTTCTGAGGACCGTGTTCTCTCTCTCTCGGTTGTTTGTGGCACCTCCAGCTTTTCCTTTCGGGCTCCAGGGGGCAGCACCGGCGACCGTGAACATGGGCACAAAACGAGGCGTCGTTTGGACCAGAAGCTGGTCGGTGGACCCTCCCAGACCTGCAGGGGTCTTGGTGTCGGTGGCTGCCGGGAAGATGCTCAGAGGGGCAGTGTGGGGTAGTGGTGAGAGCAGAGGTTCTGGCCCCCGCTCAGCCTCGGGCCACTCGGTCCCTCTCTCTCTTGAGCCTCACTCACCTCGCAGGGAGGTCATGAGCCGAGGAGGGACGGAGGAAAAAGTGAGGTAGAAGTGTCGTCGGTCAGACAAAGCAGAGGGAGAGGGAGGCAGGAAAGCACCCCCTTTTCCTTGCAGCCGGCCACTGGGCACGGAGCGTCTGCACGGGGGTTGGGATGATGGTCCAAGGAGGAGAAGCCATTGATTCTTCGAGGGCTCTGGGTCAGGTTTCCTGCCCCCTTGCTTTGGCGGGGCTTCTGTGTGGGAGCCCGCCTGCCATCCTCTCGGGTGGCTTGGCACACTGGCCTCCTACACGGTGATAATTTGGGGGCTCTTGTGCACCCTGGGCCAGGCATGCCGGCCTCCTCCCTTGCCCCCCCACCCCACCCGGCCGCCTCTTTCCCCTTCCCCACCCGAGTGAGGGGGGGGGTCTTGTGCTTCCTCGCTGGCACCCTTCTCTCTCGTTCTGGGCATAGCAGCCCACGGGTCAACCACAAACAGCAGCTTGGGCTTCGCCCTCAGCGTGACACCCCACACACATACACACGCACACACACTTCTCGGCGTGTCGGTGACCGTTTGCGACAGCACCACATGCAGTGGTGAGGGTGGGGGGCAGAGCACGGGGGGGGAGTGAGAATGGGCCCGGAGGTAACTCGATGCGGGGCCAGCTGTTCCTCTGACATTTTATTGTTGATTTGCCCATGAGACGCTTTGTAGAGCCGCTGACGGGGGGGGGAGAGGCTTTGAAGCACCACTGACACTGCCCGGAGCGGTCTGGGTGAAGGGCAGACCTTTGACTTTGGGGCGCTCAAGGGGAACAGCAGAAGAGGCAGTGGGGTGGTGAGGGGGGTCTTGTTCCACCCTCATGCCTGTGTTTTCGATGGTGGGGGGGTCACTCCAGCAGATAGAGCTGGACAGACTCGCCTGCCTTTTGGGCTGAGATTCCCAGGCAGACTTCTGGGGGGAGGGGGGGTTGGTGAGAGACTCTTGTCTCAAAAAGCAGCCAGCCACACTTCCTGCTCACCCCCCCACACACACACACTTTTACTTCCTCCCCCCCTCTCCCACAAAGGCCCCAGCTGCCTCGGACTCCTTTGAAGACCGCATCGTGGCACTGTGCGAGAAGATGATGTCCCAGCCCTGCTGGCTGCGCTCAGAGACCCTCGTCCACCATGTCAGTTTCCGGGGAATGACCCTCCTTCACCTGGCGGCCGCCCAAGGCTACACCCGCCTGATCGAGACCCTCATCAAGTGGCGGTGAGTTGCTCTGGTCCAGGATGCTTGGAAGCCCATGTCTAGGTATCAAAACCTTGTGTGTGCGTGTGTGTTTTCCTGGGGAAGGGGTGGCGAAGTGCCGTCTGCCCCTGCTCCCCATTCCAAAGAGCCTGTATCTTATATGCCACTGATTCTTCTTTCCGATAAGATAAGGCTCGGCCCCTTTGCGATGGCAGCAAAAAGCTGAAACCCACCCACCCACTCCCTTGAAAGACATGTCCCCACACCCACTGGGGTGAAACTGGGAGACCCTGGCCTCCCCCCCCTCTTCTCTGCTTCCCTGCTGCTTATGGCGTCACCTTGGCTGGTTCTGGCCCAGGATGTTCTTCCCCAACCAGGTACTTAAGCAGCTGCACCACACATAACGAGTTACAACTAAGTTGGGAAAAAGAGCATCCAACCATTAAGAAAATAAAACCAAGAAGCTGGAGGAGCCTCCCGTCCGAGTTGGGATTAGAGACTTAATTTAAACCACCAGGAACACGCAGCCCCTTTCATCCCAATTACAGCCCAAACCGATAGTTCTACCCGGTGGGTGGCGTGGCGCTTGTCTGGTTTCTTAAGATGTTCAGGGACTCACCTTGGTCGGTCATCAGCTGGCGCTCCGACCGGCCACTCTGTGGGCGCTCTGGTCGTACTGACCGCTCTGGTGCACTTCAAAGACCTTTTAGAAGTGCAGGATATCCTTATCGGTGAACGTGAACATTCCACGAGCGTTTGGAAACGGCAACAAAAGAGACGCTCCGGCCTGTCCACTTCCCCGGGGAGGGGGGCTCCTCCTTCTTGACCCTGGTGGGATTCTGCCCCTAGATTTGTTTCACTCAGTTTGCAAAGTTGCTTTAGATAAGAAGGAAAGACACCAGGCTTGGCAGCGTATTTTGGAACAGTGGCATTTTTGGCCCTTTGGGGAGAAGTCTTGACCCAAAGAGCCCCTTTCGGAATCTTGGCGGCTTCCCTTCCGGGTCGCCCGTCGGTCTCGATCCATCCCCACCCCCACCCCCGGCTGTCTTGCGGGGGCTCCCGTCTTCCCCCGAGGGCCTCTCCTCCTCTGACTCTGCCTCCCTCAGGAACCTCAACGCTCAGAGCCTGGACCTGGAGCAGGAAGTGGACCCCCTCAACGTGGACCACTTCTCCTGCACCCCTTTGGTGAGTGGCCTCTTTGGAGGTGTGTCAGGGCCACTGGTGCAGTGGGGTGGGGTGGGGGGGCACCCGGGCCGTGGCGCCTCGGCTGCTCCACCTGATGGGATCTGCCTGGGCGGTTCAGGCGGCACAGGGCGCAGGAGGGTTTTGAGGGAGGGGGGTGTATGTGGAGAGTGGGGTCCATGGGGAGAGGTTTTGCGGCGGACTGGGATTCCACGAAGCACCCCTTCCCTCGGTTTCTGGCATGTTTATGGGTTTTCCTTCATGAGGGACAGAAACTTGCGGAAGCAAGCGGAAAAGAGGGCGGCCTTCTGTGTTCCCCATCGGAAGGGGACACTTTGGCTTTGTGGCATCTCAGCCGCACCGTTACCCTTCTTCCAGCCTTGGGGGCTCCTACCCACACATACCGATCCCGGGCCTGTGCGCCCTTCCTTCCTCTCTCCCCAGATGTGGGCCTGTGCCCTCGGCCACTTAGAAGCCGCCCAGCTGCTCTACCGCTGGAACAGCCGTGCCCTCGCCATCCCGGACTCCCTGGGCCGCCTCCCCCTCACGGTCGCTCGTTCCCGCGGCCACGTCAAGCTGGCCAGTTGCCTGGAGGAGCTGCAGCGCCAGGAGGACGCGTCCCCCCAGGAGCAGCCCGGCCCAGAGCCTCCGGCAGAAGGTCCTGGGGGGGCCAGCAAGGCCAGCAGCGCCCCACAGAGACCCACAGAAGCACTCTACATCCCCTCCCCGCTCTCGGCTAGTCCAGACACAGGTAAGGGGTCTGTGGCTGGCGTGGGCGTGTGGGAAGGGAAGGGAAGGGAGGGAAGGAAGGAAAAGAAAGGAAGGAGGGAGGGACAAAGGAAGGAAGGAAGGAAGGAAGGAAGGAAGGAAGGGAGGGAGGGAGGGAAAGGGAAGGGAAAGGGAAGGGAAAGGAAGGGAAGGGAAGGAAGGAAGGAAAAGAAGAGGAAGGAAGGAAGGAAGGAAGGAAGGAAGGAAGGAAGGAAGGAAGGAAGGAAGGAAAAAGAGGGAAGGAAGGAAAAAGGGAAGGAAGGAAGGAAAAGGGGAGGAAGGAAGGAAGGAAGGAAAAGAAGAAGAGGAGGAAGGAAGGAAGGAAAAGGGAGGCGAAGGAATGGAAGGGCCACAGTTCCTCAAGGCACCTACGAACACCATTTCTGTCAAGGAACATATGAAGCTCTTTTCCATTTGGGGGGAAATTGATGTTGGCAAATGTGGGGTGTAGCTGACTGGTGCAACACTCCTTACCTGAGAGTCTCACCAGGCTGTCCTTCAGCATCCATCTGGGGCACCCTCTCTTCCCCCCAGCCCACGCATTCCAGGGAGAGGAGGCGTCCGGGCAGGGGGCCCGTGGGGAGCCCCCAAGGCGGTCGAGGGGGAGGGGATGTCAGCCTGTGGGTGGGTGGGTGCAGTTTCTGCCTGGCCAGGCTACCAGCTCAGCAGGGTTCCCTTTGCAACAGGGCAGGTGATTCTGGGGGGTTGCACCCCGAGTCGGTGAGGCCAGAGGTGGGGTGGGGGGGCTGTCACGGTGACCTGTGGCCGTAGGAAGCGCCATAGACGGCATGAACATTGAGTGCCAAAGAGCTTCTTTCAGCCTGCTTCTTGCGAGGCTGCTTGTTCGGACCACCGCTCCTCGTGTGGGACTCGTGATCCCAAGAGGTGACCTTCACCTGCCGTGGTGCTTGCCCTACTTCGCTCCCCCCCCGAAGGACTTCCCCTTCCCTCCAGTTTCTGTGGCTTGGAAAGGAGCACTGGAGTCATTTCTGCCCTTGGGCTCGGCTTCTCCTGGCCTCTGGGAGGGCTGCGGTGGTCGTGACCCCCTTCCCTCCCCCTCTTCCTCCCCCGTCCTTCCTGCAGGGCTGAGCACCGCCAGCGGCGTCTCCTCCCCCTCCGAATTCTCCGAGGGCTCCGTCTCCCTCACCTCTGCCTACTCCAGCGGGTCCGCCTTGCGGGAGTCTCCGGCCGACAGCCCCGAGGCGGAAGGGGCCGCCATGGACGTCTGCCAGGCTCCCAGGGCCGCTCCCGACAGCCTCTTGGGCTGGTACCTGCCGGAGACCCCCAGGCCCCCCAGTCTGCCTCATGCCCCCTTCTTCATGGACTATGACGAGGAGGGGGCCACGGGCCACGCCGGCGGCCCTGAGCCAGAGATGGCGCCCGAGCTTCTGGACTACGGGGAGAACGCAGAGAACGAGGGGTATCTGCCGGCCACGGATGTCCTGCAGGTAGGGAGGCCGGCGTGCGGCGGGAGGGGGCCCGGGCGGTGGTGGTGCCAGGGGAGGGGGCAGAGCCGCCCCAGAGGGCTTGTGCGTTCGGCGGCTCCAGGCCAGGCAATCCCGCTTCGAGTTATTTGGCTTTGCGCCCTACCTTCCGACCAGGCTTTTCCTTTCATGGCCTCCAGGAGAGAGGCGCGCCTTTCCTGTGGGGTGGGTCAGGCTAAGATGGAGTAACTGTCCCAAGGCCCCCCCCAGGAGGCTGACAGGATCTAGAGCCCTGCAAGGACCCACCTGGGATGGAGGAGGCCCCTTCGCTTGCGCTGACTCGCTCAGAGCTCGGAAGCAGAGCCTTTTTAAAAAACTCCCGCAAAGTTTGAAAAGCCAGTTTCTTCAGATGACCAGGAGGGTCTCTCTTGTCCTGGAGTGTCATTTCCGCCCTTGGTCAAAGCTGGTGGCCACCAGCTCCCCAGACCAGCCCCCTCTCCCCCCTCCCCAAGCCACAAAGGTCAGCCTCTGGGCTTCCTGGGGGTGCCGTTCTGCTCGCCTTCCTTTCTGACCCCATCCGCTGCCTCCCTGTCTTTGATGCCGATGGTGGGGAGAGACAAGGGAGTCCCCGGCTCTCCCCAAGGGGACCCCAGCATCCTGGGACCCAGCCCCTCTTCTTTCCTGTTCTCCGCCTCCCCCTCTGCCCCCCTCCCCATGCAGGTGGACATGATCACGCTGGCGAAGCAGATCATCGAGGCCACGCCGGAGCGCATCAAGCAAGAGGACTTCAGCTCAGCCGAGGCGCCTCTCCGGGAGCGGCCGGGGAACCTGGGCCTGAACGAGACCATGTCCTGGCTGGCCAGCTACCTGGAGAATGTTGACCAGCTGCCGAGCGTCTCCCAGCGACGGTATTGGCCCTCGGACTGGGACTTGGGGGGCAGCCCCCTCCCCCCTGACTGGGGGCGACCGACAAAGCAGAGCGAGCGAAAGAGAGAGACTCACCCCCTTCTCCTCCTCCTCCTCCTTCCAGGTCTTTGGTTTCCTCCCCTTCGAGCCACTCCTGCCTCAGCCCCCTGCCCTCCCCACTAGGCGAGCTGTCCTTGGATCGCCTCCCTCCGCCCCCCACGGCGGCCAGCTGGGCAGAGTTCCTCAACGCCTCGGCCAACGGGAAGATGGAGAGCGACTTTGCCTTGCTGACCCTCTCCGACCACGAGCAACGGGAACTCTACGAGGCTGCCAAAATTATCCAGACTGCCTTCCGCAAATACAAGGTGCCAGAAAACGCGAGGCGGGCCGTCCTGGCGGAGACGGTGCCCCTTCCGCTTGCCCATGGCCGGGCCGTTGTGCCTCAAGGCTTCTCGGGAGCTTCCGGCCTTCCCCTCTTGGATGGGACGGTGGACAGGCCGCTCCCCTCTCTGGGTGCCACGTCACGGGGAGGGGTCTCTCGTTCTGGAGTGCCACGCTTGTGGGGCCATCTCAGAGTGGCGGCTGGTGCCTTAGACCTGATGGGGCACAGTTTCCTTGGCAGAGAACAAGGGGTTCAGAACAATTTTCACCTACGGACAGGAGTGTTCATTTTCTCCTTTTCCGTTCAGTGCCAGAAGAACTACGGTCGTTTTTCCCCCCAAAATATTCCTAAAACACATGGTACCTGGTAGCTATCCTAAGAGAAAGTCCAAAGCCCTCTATCCACGCCATGTTTTTGGGACATGACGTAACCCTTTTTCTCGTGGTGGGGACTGAGTTTTTGGAACGAGGGAGGAGCGCTAGGTGGTGAGATGCCAAAGGCTGAGGGTCTCCGGGGTGGAAATCCCTGGGCTTAACTTTAAAATTGGGGAGGGGAAGGGTAGACTGGGGGGGCCACTGAAGCTCCCCAGGTCTACCTAGGTGGGTAGGGTCTCCAGACGGTCCTGGGGGGGGGCAGGATGCTTCGCTGACTCTCTGCCTTCCTCTCGTCCTCCCTCAGGGCCGCCGGCTGAAGGAGCAGCAGGAAATGGCGGCCGCGGTCATCCAGCGATGTTACCGCAAGTACAAACAGGTAAGGGCAGGCGGGAGGGGCTGGCAGCTTTCCCTGCGGGTTGCTCCACGCGCGCACACCCCCGTTGCCCTCTTTGAGAAGCATGGTCAGACATCCACACACGTGTGCGCGGGCACGCACACACAACTGCCAACTAATCCCCTCTGTCTCTCTCTGTCTTGCAAGCTCACCTGGATTGCCCTGAAGGTAAAACACAGAAGGGGCTGCAGTGCGTGTGTTTTCTGCGGGGCAGGGGATCCTTTGTCGGCGGGGGGGTGGAGGAGGAGGAGAGGGAGTCCTGGATACCTCTCGCGCAGCTTTCCAGCTGTGATCATGGAGTACCACTTTGAGAAAGTTGTTTGGGACTACAAATCCCAGAATCCCCACACTGGGTGGTGGGTGAGTTCCTGGCGCGATGGTTCAGAAAGGGACTTGCCAGCCTCTGGGCAACGTGAGGAAAAGAGCAGGCTGGGGACGGACCTCTGTCCTTGTCCCTGTTTGTGGGCCTGATCCCAGGTGCCCCAGGCAGGATGCTTGGCACAAGGATGCTTGGGGGGGGAGGCAGAGAGATCTCGCCCCCCCTCTCTTTCCCTGCTGCTGTCTTCAGATGGGGTGTTTAGAGTCCAGGGGTGGGGTGGGGGTGGGGGGCAAAAGGACAGGCCAGTGGGGCCAAGCACAGGAAGGGTCACCTCGTCTGCAGGTGAGAGGAAGAAAGAGGCACTTGGGGGAGCCTCTTTCTTGGACTACCGTCCCCAGAATCCCCTACTCGTGAGTTACGAGTCCAAAAGCTGCCGGACAGGCTTTGTTTTGCGGGAAACGGAAATAAGCGAACGCCTGCTTCCAGCCCTCCAAAGTTGCTCCCTTGTGAAATGCGTTCGAAAGCAGCCCTTCTCGGACGCCCGGCGTTTTGCTCCCGAGGGCTTACGAGGAACAGCCAGGAAGCGCTGCTGCCGGGTGCAAGGGAATCCCCTGTTCCAGGGGGTGGAAGCCTGGGGGGGGGGTGGCAGGATTCTCCATCGATCACTCTTTCCTCCCTCCCTCCCTCTGCCCAGTACGCCCTTTACAAGAAGATGACCCAGGCGGCCATCCTCATCCAGAGCAAATTCCGGAGCTACTACGAGCAGAAGAAGTTCCAGCAGAGCCGGCGGGCGGCCGTCCTCATCCAGCAATACTACCGGAGCTACAAAGAGTACGAGAAGCTGAAGCAGGGCCACCGGGCCTCCGCCGCCATCCAGCAGAAGATC